TTTGAAGAGGCAGCTCTTCCCCAGTCATATTTTGAGTGCCTTCCAAACTTCCAGCACTCTATCTGACAATGTTTTGCTGTTATTCATAATGTTTCATCTTCTGGTAGTATATCTGACAACGTTCCATTGCTACTTACAAAGTTTTCAGTGGCTAAACATACAAAAGTGGTCTGCCTCTCCTTCTTCTTCTGTCTTTATTGAAACTTGTCTCCCATGGGTGACCCTGCTGCTATTTCAAATACCAGTGGCATAGCTTCCAGCAGCACAGCAACACACAAGCCACCACACCAGAGGAAGCTGACAGATTAGTGGTGGTCCGTCATCATAGCCATGCAAATCACTACAGTTTGACAAACTGACAGATTGGTGGTAGTAAGAAACCTTTGACAGATTTTTTTGTGAATGTGTCAGGCAAGTACAAGAGAAATATTGGTAAACAAGTTATAGTTTTTATCTTAAGGAACCTTACAAACAAGTGTGTGTGTGGTGGGGGACGGGGGAATTACTGACAACTTGGCTGTGGAAACACACAGGTGGAGCAATCAACCTAGTCGTGAGATGCTGATGGCTGGTGTGGGCTGAAGACTTTCTGGAGGAAGTAACACTCTTAGAGTTCTGGGTCAGTGGTTGGAGGAAGGAGTGGAAAGACCTTTGTTTCTCTCAGGGGTCAGATATCTGAGTCTGTCCTGAGAACTGCTTGCAGAAGGAAGAGTTCCTTTGAAATGGTGTGTTAAGAGATGAAGTCAGGGATGTAAGCTAGGGTAGGAGTTTGAACACTGAGGAGCAAGTGAAGGGAATAGCTAAGAAGCAGCATTTATCCAGATTTCTTTTTCAGATCATTCCAGTTGCTTTATGAATAGTGGTCTGATTTGAACACAATCAGAGGTGGGAGAGACTTGTTCTATATACAAGTTTTCTCTTTAAATAGTGATAGAAAAAGTTGAAAAGTGATAGGAAGAGAGGAAAAGAGCTTGCCACCAAAAGATACACTTGGCCCTGATGAAGTACCAGAACCACCAATCACTCGACACCATGTTTGGTAAACGGCGTGTCAGTGAAAACTAGGTGTACTACATGGTCAGTGGAGTCCTGGCGTGGTGCTGCAGGATAATGCACTGGACTGAAAGGTCAGTTTGAGTCGCAAGTCGGTGGTTCAAGCTCACTAGCTGCTCCTTGGAACCCCTATACCGGGTTGCTATGAGACGAGACCAGCTCTATGACACTTAACAACAACAACATGGTGAATTGCCATAATATAGCCCACAAAGACAATTTTCTCTACTTTGATTAGGCAAATCTGCTGCACGAGACCTTTTTGAAGTGTTGAAGAGCAAAGATGTCAGCTTGAAGACTAAGGTGCACCTGACCCACGCCATGGTATTTTCAATAACCTCATTTGCATGTGAAAGCTGGACAGCGAATAAGGAAGATCATAGATTTGATGCTTTTGAGTTATGGTGTTGGAGGAGGATATTGAAAGTGACACGGGCTGCCAAAAAATCCAGAGTGCTTCTTGGAGGCCAGGATGGCCAAACTTTGTCTCTCATGCTTCAGACATATTGTCAGGAGGGACCAGTCTCTGGAGAAGGATATCATGTTTGTTAAGGTGGAGGGTCAGAAGAAGACCCCCAGCGAGATGGATTAGCCAAGTGGCAGCATCCATGGGCTCAAGTGAGGCAACGATAGTGAGGTTGGCTCAGGATCGGGCAGTGTTTCCTTCTGCTGTGCATAAGGTCACTATGAGTCAGTAGAAACTCGATGGCACCTGACAACAACAACAACAACAAACTTTGGTGAGTAATGACTGGGATCTTAAAAGCTCATGAACAGCCATCGAAGGTGCAGATCTTGATCTCTCCATGTGTGGAGGAAAGAAGAATGATGAAAATTGAAGATACTTGGAACAAGTTAATCCAAGTGGACTAACGGACCATGTGAACCTCATTTCCATGACTCTGAGACCAGAAGAACTAGATAGTGCCCAGCTACCACTACCAACTACTTCGAAAGGGATCACATTAGAAGGTCCTGGACAGAGTGGGAGAAAAGGTGGAACAAACTCAGACTATAAGAAAGTCTGGATTTACTGTTCAGAAAGACACTGGAGGAACCTGAGACTAGGCCCTCAGCCACCCTTCAGGTATCTAATGAAACTCACCTTTGTGAGCCAATCGGTAGATAGATGTATGGTGGTGGTGGTGGTTCTGACTTATAGCAACCCTGCATAGGGTTTCCAACACTGTAAATCTTTACAGGAGCAGAAAGCCTCATCTTTCTCCTGCAGAACGGCTGGTAGTTTTCGAACTGCTGACTTTGAGGTTAGCAGCCCAACTCATAACCACTGCACTACCAGAGCTCCTTAAATAGGTATATTGTTGTTGTTGTTGTGAAGTGCTGTCGAGTCGATTCCAATCTATAGCAACCCTGTACAGGGTTTCCGAGGAGCAGCTGGTGAGATTGAACCGCTGCCCTTGTAGTTCAAATGGCTTTGCAGTCTGGCGCAATAGGAGGGACAAAAACACTAGTAAAAACAGCATGGAATGGTCAACCAGTCACAATCAGAAGTGCAACATTTACCAAAGGACTAAGTTGAGAAGGGATGGGAAGGTGGGTGGATGGAAATAGGAATCACAGGAAGGAAATGGGATCCATGGAGGGGACTGCAATTGAGATGAAACAAAGTGTATGATTTATTGGATGTAAAGGTTCTGTTCTGTAAGCCTTCACTCAATTCACAATAAAAGGTTTGAAAAACAGAAGAAAGGAAAAGCAGGTGTATTCTAACTTCAATTCTACGTACTTGGCTTGTTACGGTATACAGTGAGAGCCTTAGCTCTGTTTTGAGTCTTGGTATGTTCAGCCTCCATTGAGTTCATTCTGACCATAAACCAGCTAGGTAAAAAGCTCTGCACTCAGGAAAGGTGTGTTTGAAAATAGATTACAAGCCTACTCTGGCCAGTAGTCTAGGTAGGGGCAGTCTGGTTCTTAGGGACTTGCCTTGGCATGCCCTTAATGGAGATTGGGCTATTGGAGGGTCAGCAGCTATTCCTTGACCAAGGTGGTTGGAGGACCACAGAACCAATCCTATAAATTTTTCTAATCTGTAATAGGGCATATATCCCCATCATGGTCCCTTTTCAGCGTCCAGATTCCCACCTGCAACAGTGAACAAGTGATTCGCTGTCAATCACGATCTTTGTTTCCCATGTTCTGCTATTGGCCAAGTGGCCCTGAATCCTTTGGGCACCCTCATGGTCTCACGTTGATGGTACCATCGCCCTCATCTAGATTAGTCGCTTTTGTCTTGTTTAGACTTCATAAAGGTCTTTGTAAAATATACTTAAACTTGGGGTCTTTTTTTCCTCCTAAAACACAGGGAAACCTTCAATGAGATGGATCAGCATAATACTTGTAACAAAGGGCTCAAACATACCAAGGATGGTGATGATGGCGCCAGTCCCAGCAACGTTGCATTCCCTGTATATAAGGTTGCCGTCAGTCCCAGCAGACTCAACGGGAACAAACAAGGAACACTAAATAATTCTGAGGAAATGCAAGGTGGACCCAGGATCTGTGGGGGTCTGAGTCTTACCCAATTTGTGTGTCTATTCAAGAAATAGGACACGCAATTAGGCACCAAGTTAAGTTTTGATTTAGACTGAGAAAATATATTACAACAAATTAACAGTTGGAGCTTTGGAAATTCCTGTCTCTTCAGTTTACCTGAATTGCTTGCCTTGACATGCTTTCTGGGGGCAGCCAGGCTGCTACAACACCGCCTGCCGAGAAGACAGCTCCCAGCATTACTGGTTTTAAAGGTAGCGAGGCAACTTGACCGCCTCTCAGAAGTGGTTCGCTCCGCAACAGCACCTGAGGAGGCTTGTTACGCTGGGACAAACTATTTTAGGGGCTCAAGAATGGGAGAGAGCGTGTAGTCACACTTTGCTCTCACGTCCATCCATTTGCTGGCAATCGGGCAGGAGGTTGGCAGCATCTGCAATTTAGGCTAAGGGAGGTGAGGAGGCAGAATGCCTGAGAGGTGCCTTTTCTGAGTGTCTGGGACCTCCGTTTCACCATTACGACAAACGATCTTAAAAAACACAAGCCACCCTGGCATGAAATTTTCAACGAAAAAGCAACGCACACGCCATAGCCACAGAATGTGAACGTTTAATTTTTCAAAAAAGAATTTGCAAAGTTTATATTTTTAAATAAAATAATTAACTCCTGCAAAGTAAGTAGCGGTGCCTGGAGCCCTATGGGGCGATAGGGGTGCGGGCGGACGGATAGTGGTCGGAGCCCGCGGCAGGGCGCGCGGACCAAGACCCGGGCCTGGGCGGTGCGGGGCGGTTGGTGGCGGGGCGGGCACGTGGAATACCACCAGGGCCCGGGCGCGCGGATCAGGGGCGGTTCGGGGAGAACAGACCGGCTTTATGCACTGAACGTTGCCGGGGCGGCACGGGGTGGGGTGCAGGGGCGGGGCGCAGGGCGTGCAGACTGGAGCCGGAGCTGGGGGCGGTGCGGGGCGCACGGACCAGATCCGTTGGACGGGGCGGTGCCAGGCGGCGCCGTGCGGGGTCGGGGACTGGGCGGTACGCGCGGACCGAGACCTGGACCGGGACTTTCGGCGGCGTGAGAAGAGGCGCGCAGGCCAGTGCATGGGAAAGGGCGGGGCGAGGCGGAGCGCACAGACCTTCCCCATGGAGCGGGGCGTTGCCTGGCGGCGCGGGGCGGTGCCCGGGGCGGAGCGCACGGGCAGGGTTGGTGGAACGGGGCGGGACGGGGCGGGGCGCGGCGCTTGGACCAGTACTAGGGCCGGGACTTGGGGCGGCGTGAGGCGGAGCGCGCGGACCAGGGCCGTGGAGTGGGGCGGGGCGCGCGGACCCGGGCTGGGGCCGGGGCGGTGCGGAGTTGCCCAGCGCGCGGAGGCGGTGGACGCGGCGCTGCCAATCGCAGACAAAGACCGTCCCAGTGAATCATGTGGTGCGGCGGGAGGAAGTGCGGCTTGTTTTTTTCACTTCAGTCTCCGGGCTCCCGACTCGGCGCGATGCTTGGAGACCCCTGTGGGGGCGGGGACAGAGGTGGCCTCCAGGTCCGATGAAGTCAGTGAGCCCCTGGCCGCGTCGCAGCGCCCTGCGCCCCGATGGCGGCTCCGTCGTGGGACCCCCTGCGCAATGACTCTCTGCCGCCCACTCTGACCCCGGCGGTGCCCCCGTACGTGAAGCTCGGCCTCACCATCGTCTACACCGTGTTCTACTCGCTGCTCTTCGTGTTCATCTACGTGCAGCTCTGGCTGGTGCTGCGCTACCGCCACAAGCGGCTCAGCTACCAGAGCGTCTTCCTCTTTCTCTGCCTCTTCTGGGCCTCCCTCAGGACCGTCCTCTTCTCTTTCTACTTCAGAGACTTCGTGGCGGCCAATTCGCTGAGCCCCTTCGTATTCTGGCTGCTCTACTGCTTCCCTGTGTGCCTCCAGTTCTTCACCCTGACGCTCATGAACTTGTACTTCGCGCAGGTGAGTCGGCGGCAGGAACCTGGGGGGAGTGAACGATGCCCCCTCTAGGGGGGTAGGCGTGAGTGTGGACCGCACCTGCGACCCTGTCAGGGCGAGACACCAAAATGTCAGTGAAATTTTTGTGCAGCGTTCATCAGAAATGTAGTATTTGAAAAAAATAAATCCCTGTAGTTGTAACAACACATTTTCACGAGCCCAACTTACATGTATCACAGTATACCTGTTGGTGTTAGTGTCGTTGAGTCGTTTCCGACTCTTGGCGACCCTGTATAGAGTTTCCAAGGAGCGGCTGGTGAGTTTGAACCGCTGACCTTGCAGTCCAGGACTCGATTAATATACCTACAAGGCTAAAACTCCTTTTGAGCCTTCTAATGCACTCCGCTCATCATTACCCTGTGTTACAGTGAACCTTCAAATCACTGGATACATTGTTGTACGTGCTCCAACCTGGAATTTTGGTGTCATTAGAGTCAAATTTCCTGGAGTTTTATCTATAAGGTTGCGAACCTTAGTATTTGTGAACCTATATCAATAATTTTTTTTTGAGAATGAAACAGTAATTAAAGGAAAGGGAGAAAAATCCAAAAAAGCTTTTACTTACTTACTAATAATGTTGTGATTCAACACATCCATTTTGTTAGTATTCATATAATTTGTGAAATATTACATTTAAGCAATTTATAGCTATAGTCACATATTATTCTATGATTAAAATTGATAAACATGATTAAGAAGTCTGATCTGTGACAGGAAAGAGGTGCATGGGGAGGGTTGTGTGTGTGTGTGTGTATGTGGCTGAGTGTCACCACTGTCCAGAGGTTCTCACCTGGAAGGGTGGCCAATGCCCAACACAGTGGAGAAGGCAGCTTCAAGGGGTGGGAGAAGGAGGCATTGGTTCTGGGCTTAACTGAGCCCCACCCTACCATCAGGCCTTTCTCTGAGGTGACCCCCTCCTAGATTGTCATTCCCAAAAGAGGCAACAGAAACGGGAGAGGAAGCTCACGAGGCCGCAGTCAGTCTCTGCCCTTAGCTCAGCCCACCTGACATGCACTGGGTGTGAGAGGGTGCAAGCAACCATTTCAACAACTTCTAGCATACGTGTCAGAAATGGTACCAGTGTAAGTTACCCCCACCGGGGAAGTCAGAATTAAAAAATTCTCCCTCTGTCCATTCATTCCAAAGCACCTGGTAACCCAGCCTGCAAAGGTCATATGTACTTCAACTTGTAGATTTGGGTTTTTTGAAGTAATGGCGGGTGGAGGCCAGCATGGTGTTGATGAAGTGTTTTGAACGCTGGGTTTAGCAGTGTTTCTGAACTGCAATTTAGTAAATCGTTCCATGGGATTGCTAAACAGCTGTCTGGGTTAACACCCAGCTCTTGGCTGCTGAAACGGAAGCTGAGTTTGCTGCCTGAGCTCATCTGAGACACCCAAAGAAAAACCCATAAAAGTTTACTGGGGCTCTTTTATAGGTTGACAAGAGTCATTTTATGAGAAATATTGTTAATAATAAGCGAATGGGAGAACATAACATGTAAATGACTTGGCTAGTGTTTTTAAAGTCAAGCTTGACTTAATGCAAGTACAGTAATTGGAAAGTACTTTTCAAGTACTGCATAAACAATGACATAAAGGTTTAATAGCCCAATGTTATAATCATCACCATCATTTCTGATCCCACTCATTTTGCAAGCACTAAAATGTCTATTTTCACTAGGACTCTACCCAATGAAAATGTGCCAAGTGTGTCTCTAGCTGCCCAGATGAAGCAGCTAAGGGGCGGAATTTCTTGAGGCCTTTTAACTACATCTTTATTTTTCAGAAGAAAATGTCACTGATTTAAAAAAAAAGAAAAGAAAAGAAAAAGGATTAACTTGGTCTAGTAAGAGCCCCTGACTGAAAGTTTGGAGGAAATGCTTTTGGCTAGAAAAAAATAGCATATGTAATGTTACATAAATTAACATATGTAATGTGGCACTTAACAACATTAATATAATAATGTTGTTTTTAAGTACTGTCAAGTGGGTTCCAACTCATAACAACTTTGTACTGGGTTTCTAAGAAGCAGCTGGTGGGCTTGAAGCCTTCACCTTCTGTTGTTGTTGTTGTTAAGTGCCATCGAGTCGGTTCCGACCCATAGCGACCCTGTGCAGGGTTTCCGTTTGTCCTGCAGCAGCATACCAGGACCATATTGTAAAATTTTGTCAAAATGGGATGGTCCTCAGAGGCTTCTTGGAGTGGCGCTGTGGGTTAATGCACCAGACTGCAAAGCCGTCTAAACTGCAAGGTTGTTGGTTCAAGCTCACTAGCTGCTCCTTGGAAATCCTATATAGGGTCGCTATGGGTCGGAACTGACTTGACGGCACTTAACAACAAGAACAACCATGGAGGCCTGATGTGGTGCTTGTAGGATAAGCGCTGGACTGCAGGGTTGGCAGTTCAAATCCACCGGCTGTTCCTAGGAAGCCCTATACAAGGTCGCTATGAGCTGGAACTGACTCTACAGCACTTAACAAGAACAGCAACCATGAAAAATACACTCTACTGGAAATATAACACCTTGTTCTACAAGGGTAAAGTCAAGTCGAGGAGATGGCGAAGTATCTATGTGACACAATTAAACAGTTCAAGGGATTTAAGGGAATGTGTATTTAAATATTAGCAGGAAGTGCCACATGGGAGAAAGTGTGGGTGGGCAGGCAGGGAGGAGAGGTGGGGATGAGGAAGGGTGCTGGGCACAGAGGAAGGGGGTCGTGTGGCTAGCACCTGGAAGTGGGATGGGTCTGGGAAGTGGAAGAAACTGTCTACAGACCCTGCCTGTGACTTCCTTCCTCATCTCCTGTAAGCCTGTTGGACTGCCTTGTGAGGAGGACTTGTTCCTCTCCCCTTGTTGAGATTCTGAGAGGTTGGGGGTTGCCTTTCCTAGGTGGGTGTGGCACGCCCTCTTTGGCTGATTTTGTGCAATGCTGCCTGTCTGGAGTCCTGGTGTGGCGCTGTGGGTTAATGCGCTGGACTCCAAGGTTAGCAGCTCAGATTCACCAGCCGCTCCTTGGAAACCCTAACCAGGGTCGCTATTGGTCGGAGCCAACTCGACAGCACACAACAGCCACAGCAACAGCCTGGCTGAGTCACACACCGTAGGGTGTTTTTGGTCTCTGCCACAGAGTTGGCCCTGAGTTGGCCTTCACTCACGGTTACCCAGTGCGCATGCCATCCCGTGGTTGGCTGTGAATCAGACCATTGTGATCTGTAGGGTTTGCAGTGTTTTATTTTTGGAAGTAGAACTTTCTTCCCAGGCTGCCTAAGTCAGGAAACTCTGCTAGAACCTGCTGAGGTCAGAGCAGCAGGCAGGCCTCCCCTGACTGATGGACAGCTACACTGGACAGGAATGAACCAGGTCTCCTGCGTGGACAATGAGCTCTTTACTTCAGAACCATTACTATCCCATTGAGTTGGTACTGACACAGTGACCCTTTGGGTTTCCCAGGCAGCAGGTTCCACTGGTGGCTTTGAACTGCCGAATTTTGGGTTTGCCTCTTGCTACCAGGGTTCCTCTGTTTTAGGTGACTAATTGGTTCACTTTGCCCCAAATCACTTGCTTCCAAACTGTTAGGCTAGTCTTTTTCGACCCCAGCCACACACACAGTGGCTAAGTGCTCAGCTGCTAACCACAGGTTGATGGTTCAAACCCACCAGCCTCTCAGCGGGAGAAAGATGTGGCTGTCTGCCTCTGTAAAGCCCTGGAGTGTGTGTAGCAGTTCTGCTTGGCCCTATGGGTTGCTGTGAGCCGGAACCAATAGAACAGCCATGGGTTTCGTTGTTGTTGTTTTTGGTTTCTTGGCCTCTCAGAGAGGAGGAAAACCAGTCCATATATACAAAATGATTGTGTTTTTCCATTTAGCTAGGACAAAAGAGGGCTTGTTTCAGGCCCCAGATAGTGGAAGGAGACAACAGACACCTGACATTTGTTCCTGCTTCCCCTCAGTGGTGGATATTTGATGGAAAAAATGTCCCCAAAGATGAGACATTTTAGAGGAATCCCTGTCTTAGGCCATAGGGACTCCTGGTGAGGCACTGTAGGATAAGCATTGGACACAAGGCTGGTGGTTCAAACCCGCTACCTGCTTCCTTGAAACTCTATACAGGGTTGCTATGAGTCAGAACTGACTCCACAGCACGGAACAGTAACAACAGCAAGTGCATCTTATAGCTTTCCAGTTAGTCTTAAACTTATCAAAACTTTAATCTCATTTGATTTTAATCTTAAATCCAATTGAAGAGCCCCAGGGACCCAGGGCTGAGGGGTCCAGCATCTTAGCCTCTCCACTTGCCTTCTGGCTCTAGCTCTTCGGGGCTCTCTGTGGAGGGGTGGGTCTGTAGTTCTCTGCTGTCTGCCACCTTGGTTTCGGGCTCTGTGTCTGTGATGTGGCCGTCTCTCCATGAGCACTTCCACTTCAGTCTGCTCCCCTGCTGTGGCTACCTTCTTTCCAACCCCTTCATCCAGTGGGCACAACTGTGGGTCCTCTCCTATGGCTTCCATGCCCTTTGTCATGAAGCTGTGAGACTTGGTGACATCCGTTTTCACTCCCTCAGCTATAGGGAGACAGGGTGCCTTTCCTCGCACCCCACCAGGTCCCTTTCCCTCCTGTTTCAGGGCCCTCCCATTGCAGAACTCCCAGTTCCTGGTACCTTCCTAGCAATCATCTTCTGTGATCCGTTTTGCTCTGAGTCTATGGCGGCAGACCTGTGGCTCCCAGCTCAGCAAGCATCTGTCCAAGGAGCTTTCTCACATCCCTGTGATCAATCCTGTGGCGCTTTCTCCACACAGGTTGAGGGGACGGCAGTTACCTCTTACCATGAACACTTCTCCTCCATAACTAGCCAGCACCTCTTTCTCTCCCTCCTCCTGTCCACTTTCTCCTGTAGCCTGGGAAGTGGCTATGGGGAGGATTGGCCATGCTCTGAACCAGCTGTAAGTGTGTGTATGTGTCTGTGTACGTT